CTAGGACTTGAACCATACAGTCAGCTATTTGAGATCCAACCACCTTAACTACCACACCACTGACTGGCCCCTAGAATTAGCTACAATCACTTTCTACTGGAGTTATAAAGACCAACTTGACAAAAATGTACACAGATCTGTGTATGTCTGTATGTAGATATAGATGTTTATAGAGATAGATGGATATGTAGATAGAAATATTAGAATTTGGGGTTCCAGAAACTTTTAGTTGGGAAGGGATTATAATACTTCATAGGATTATTGTAAGAATGAACTAATACTCAGTAACATAGACGTATAAGTGCCCTGCATGTAATAACCACCCAATAAATTATAGCTATTGTAATTATCTTCTATCCTAGAGATCCCTCCCTTGATTTCTTTGCTATTTTGTTTACCATAGTAGTAAAGAGTATGGGCTTTTTTTTTTTTTTTGAGAGGTTTTTGCTATAGGGCACGTGTACTAGCCAGGAAGACAGAGAGAGACAGAGAGACAGAAAGTGAGAAATCACCCCCCAGGGGGGATGGCCACGCCGCAGTCCCTTCTCCTCCATTCTCCTCTTGGGATCTTGGGCACGCATGCCCACTTGCCCGGCGTGAGTTTAAGCCACCGGGTTCAGGACTTGAACTGCAGTCGACTACATGGGAGTCCAGCGACATAGCCATTACGCTAAATGCTGGTCCCAAGAGTATGGGCTTTGAAGAGGAACTGTTTAGGTTGAAATCAATGCTCTACTATGTTAAGTGATTGCTCTCTGGCTCAGTTTCCTCATCTGAAAAATGGAGATGTTATAGGGCCACTCTGTGGGATGGTGGTTAGGGTGGTTAGATCCCACATGGCCTACTGCAAGGGTTCAGTACCAGACTGGCAGCTTGAAAAATAGGCGCACAAGCATGTGTGCGCATGTGCCCAAAATCCTGAGCGGAGAAATGGAGAAGGGATTGCGGTGTGGCCATGCCCCAGGAGGTAGTGCTTTCTCACTTTCCCTCTTTCTTTGTCTCTCTCTGGCAAATGTACCCTGTTGCAAATTTTAAAAAGTGGAGATTTTATACTGATTATTTAAAATTATAAAAATCAATGTGAGGATTCAGTAAGTTAATTAGGCGAAGCACTGGGGTCAGCAGGTTGCTAGTTAGATGGTTAGGTGCTGGACTCCCACAGGGGTGACAGTGGTGTGAGTCCCAGACAGGTGGCTTGCTTTCTTACTCCTCTTGCCTCTCTCTCTGGTGAGTGCACGTGCCCTATAGCAAATCCTTAAAAATAAATTAATTAATTAAATAATTTTTTAAAACATAAAGTGAAGCACTGAGACATCATAAGCACTTGTTGAGTTAATAAACTGATTATGGCATTGTAATTATATTATTATATTATTATTTATTAGAAATAATAAGAGCAATCCATTATTGTTATTTTAGAAAGATTTGTGCTATAGGGCACATGTACCCACTGGGGAGAAAGAGACAGACAGAAAGCAAGAAATCACCCCCCAGTCGTGATTTCTCCTCTCTTCTTTGGATTTTGGGCATGCACACCACATGTGCCTGTGCCAGGTATGAGTTTCAAGCTCCTGGGTCCAAGACTCAGACTGCGATTGACTACTTGGGAGTCCAGTGACATAACCATTATGCCATCTGCTGGTCTCTTCATTATTATTTTTTTACTCCTAGTCATCAAGAAACAAAAGTTGGGGTTTTATATTTTTCTTTCTTATAGAAGTTTCTCTCTTTTTAAATTTTTATTTAATTTTATTTATTTATTTTTTATTTTGCTATGTGCTCACCATAGAGACCAAAAAAGACAGAGAGACAGAACGCAAGAAATCACTCCTCATGGGGGATGGCCACGCCACAATCCTTTCTCTGTTCTCCTGGGGTCTTGGACATGCACACACATATACTCAGAGTGGTTTTTTTTTTTTTTTTTTTTTTAAAAGGGTATTTTTGCTATAGGGCATGTGTGCTAGCCAGAGAGACAGAGAGAGACAGGAAATGAGAAATCACCCCTGCAGAGGGATGGCCACATTGCAATCCCTTCTCCTCCATTCTCCTCTTAGGATTTTGGGCATGCACACACACGTATGCTTGGCATGAGTTTTAAGCCACCAGATCTGGGACTTGAATATGGTCAACTATGTGGGAGTCCATAACAAAACCATTATGCTATCTATTGGTCCCACACCCAGTGTGTTTTAAATCACCAGATCTGGGACTCGAACCGTGGTTGGCCATGTGGGAGTGCAGTGACATAACTGCTACACCATCTGCTGGCCCCAGGACTTTTTCAAAGGAAAGTTTGTCTTCCTTTCCAGCAGAGAAATTGACCATATTGTCTTGATCTACACAATTTGGCCCTTAAGAATGTAGAAAAGGTTATTTTTTTCCTTAATGAAGGGTCCCAGGTAGTTAGTTATGTGGCTTTCCCAGGACTATTGTTTGTCTGGTACTCACTCACTGGTATGGCTGTGACTGTCATTAAATGTTGAGAGACTGCTGTATTGGATAGTCCATAGCTTCTGCTTGGGCCCTTAGGAATCCCTCACTGACCTGGCCCATTCCTCTGTACCCCTTGATTCAGCAACCAAAGAGTTAATAGTTGGAGCCTGCTGGGGTCCAGCTTGAGCTAGTGGTTAAATATTCTGAACATCAGCCCTGGACTCCCCCACTGCCACTGGTTATTTTTAAAATGTTGGATTTAAAACACATAGTTTTTGGTTTTCAAGAGCATGGTGCCAGTGTCTCCAAAGAATAACTTAGTCTGTACCACTAGAAGTATCCTTGGGAACGTGTTGGGCACTAGGCCACACAGGGTGTTAGGATTTGGAGCAAAGTAGATTTGTGTGAATGCACTTCAAATCTTACTGCAAGATTAAAAAAAAAAAATGGAGAGAGGTTAAAAGGAAAGAAGGAGCAAGAATTATGCTTTTAACGTGGAGGCTGTCTCTTATGCACTCACAACACCTAGCATAATGCTGGCTTGTATGGGCTAGTTAATGCAAACCAAGTGAATGACTGCAGGAATGGGTACAGGCCTCCTGCTTCATCATGAGGACATTCCTGTTGGAATCCTGGTAACTCACATTTATATACTACTATAGAGTTCACAACGTGGTGCTTTGTAGCTTATACATTTCTAAGCTAATTCCTGAACTTTTGGTTACTTTGATTTTTCCCTCTCAAATATTGTCCTGAGCAAGTTATTTCCAAAGGAAGATATGCAGTAGGTTAAGAAATCTCAAGCAGTGGGAACCAGCAGTTGGCGTAATGGCTATGTCGCTGGACTCCCTCGTAGTCGACCCCGGTTCGCGTCCCGGACCTGGTGGCTTAAAACTCACGCTGGGCGCGTGTGTGTGTGCCCAAGATCCCGAGAGGAGAACAGAGGAGAAGGGATTGCAGCGTGACCATCCCCCCTAGGGGGTGATTTCTCACTTTCTGTCTCTATGTTTCTCTCTGTCTGTCTGGCGAGCGCACGCGCCCTATAGCAGGAAAAAAAAACCTCTCCAAAAAAAAAAATCTCAAGCAGGGAAAAGAAAATATAAATACTGAGAATAAAGCGTTCTTCATAGAGAAAGAAATAAGATTTGATAGTGATTTATTGGAGTTATGTGAAGGACTACATAATGCATTTACATTACCCTCCGGTGGTATTTTGGATGGTCTCACTGTCAGCGGTCCTCCTGGCTCAGCCTCCTATCTGAAACCACAGGCATACATCATCACACCCAGGTCGTTTAGACAGGGTCTCTCTAGGTTGCTCCTGCTGGCCATAATCTTACACTCCTCCTGACTCAGTGTCCCCCTGCCCCCTGAGTAGATGGGAGTCTATCATGTGCCACCATGCCTAGCTTTTGGGATGGGGCGGGAGATCCAAACTGGGCCTCCTATAGCGCTTCAACCTGCCTCACAGCGGCATCTAGCACAGCTACCATGGCTGGGCCCCTCCCTTTATATTCCAAGCACAAGCTGTTTCTTGCTTCAGTCTCTGCTGCAGAGACTATTCTTCTCACACCCCACCCCCACTTTTCACTCAACTAGCCCCTATTCACCAAAGCTCCCTTCATCCTTTCCTGACCTCTCCCCAGGCTGTATTAGGTTTTCTCTTCTGTGCTCCCATAGAACCCTGAATCACTTAGGCTGTACTTACAGGTGGATTTCTGCTAACTACATCATGATCTCTTTAGTTGAGAGGTTATGTCCTTGTGTATCTCTTGTGCCTGTCACACAAGTTTTCTTTTTTTTTTTTTAAATTATTTATTTTATTTATTCATTCATTTATTTTTTAGTTTGATCAGAGAGAGACAGAGGATGAGAGTGAGAAAGAGAGGAAGTGAGAAAGCAGGCAGATTCAGGACTCGAACTCTGGTCGGCAATGTGGGAGTGTCTAGCGCCTTAACCACCACGCCACCTGCTGGTCCCCGACACAGAAGTTTTCTAAAAGTAAAATCTGTATACCTCTAAATCAGAATCTCAAGGGGTGTGGCCCTGCAATCTGTGGTGCAGGTGACACATACACTCATTTGAAAACAGTGTGTCACACAACTAAAAAAGTAGCTGGATGAATGCATTTTGAGGTGTTTGTGTCTTTTCTGTGCTGCATTTTGTGAGGAGAAATACTTTCCGTGTACCGGGTCAGAGCTGAGAAATTCTAGCGTTTTCGTAAAAACCAATGAGGGATTAACTCCTTTCTGTTTCTACATTAATCCCTTTCTGCTTCTGGGTGTGCTTCGTCGAGTACAGTCTTACCTGCCTTGGGCCTCTTTTGTCACATATCGCTCATCTGTGAGTTAAGGCTGCGACTCCCTTCCTGCTG